ATGGTACGACAAATAAATTGGAATGCCTTGTTTCTAATAAGTACAGTAAATAAAGACAAATCTCTCAAGGAAATTTTGCATGTTTTAGAAGTATTATTTCTGACGGTTACGTTTATTCAATACAACACCTCGACCTAAACTATCAACTAGTAAGTTTTAAAACGGTCTCTTTCTCTTTATCTGCAAATAAGGTTAGGTGTAAAGTGCCGGTACACACAAAAACTTGAAACAGAATTAAATTCTGGATTGATAGTGAAAATTCAAGCTCCCAAAAAAAGTTAGGCTGAAAAGTTAGGACGATGCAGAACAGTTCAATAGGTCTAACCTTTCGAGCTTTATCTTAGCGATATAGAAATTGGGAACTGCTGTTCGCCTCTTTAAAGACCTGCTAAATTCTGTATAAAGAATAGCTTTTTGAGCCAGGTTGACTTCCGAGCCCTCTAGGTATGAACTCTATCGGGAAAATGTTGAGAATGACGTAGTGTTTTTCATGATGATGAGTTTGCCGTTTTGTCTCGAAAGGTCTATCTTTCTGCTTGTAGCAACAGTAGCGGATGATCGTATGTCCATCAAAGTCTGTCCAAATTTGAGAGTTTCTACCAGGTGGCTCATTCAACACGTTCTTATTTATTTTAAAATAATCGACTCACTCTGCATACATCATACATAAATTGTGCACGAAGTGAACTTAAGCTTACGGATGTCGGTTGAATACGTTTTCTCTGTAGCAAATTTTCCAGCAGCTTCGGGCCCAGGCCTCAATGCTGTTTATAGAATCATAATCACTTCGTCATTACTTTTCGCGCTTCGTGTCATTGACACCCCGTTCTACGATGCCCCCGGTGTGATCCTACGAACCACATAAGAAATGCAATGACTCACTCGACCGGGGTCGGCATTGTTATTTACTGCTAGCGATAAACGGCCAATCAGAGATAACCAGCCGAAACACCCGTTTTAACCGAAATGTTTGTTTATCTTGTTTTTCCAGTCAGTTGATCCTCCACTTGACGCTGCTTAGCTGACTTTGGATAGTTTGTCTTACATCTAGGACTATCGGATACGTCCAGATATGTCAAACAAGCCCCTATGAACCAAACATTACATGTATGCCCCTCAGAATAGTTTGTCTGAGGTCAAGTAAAAACGGTTCTAGTATTAGTTGTAAACAAAAAAGAGAACGCTGTTATTGGGAGTTCATCACTAGCCGTTAGTTACTGACCGTTTTCTTCGCATAAACAGTTACGACAACCTTTCCGATCAATGCAATTATCGACGGCGTGGCGATTTGTATGGAGAATTTTTTCCTAGAGCTAAGATGGTTCATGCGGATCACTGGAGCTTGAACGATTTATTGTTTCCAATCAAGGTGTTCTAGATAAGCTTTCCAATTAAAATAAAATCGCTAGTTTGAATGTGGGAACTGCCACGAATAGAGGATGGTCCATCGATGTTTTGTGGTTTTCCCATTCTGGACTTGCGGTAGCTTCGTCTAATTTGTGTGAAGGAATAGTGACGCATTATTGACAAAATTCTACTGGGGCTGTAATGAAGGCTGGCACACTCTGGTGCAATAATTCCCAGTGAAGCTCATGGTCGTTCTCGCAAGAATTCAAAGACCATTTGATAAAATGGTGAGCGATTTGTAATCAGTTGCAAGCCTTCACGCTCACCTCCTCCACAGTATGCCTATAAGACATAATTGAACAACTTCATTATTAAATAGAGCATTCGAAATAACTTCAAACTTCTGTTTGGTCCATGTAGTGATGAAGTCATATATGATTTGAAGTTACTATAAAGAAATAGTTAAAAAAACCGTAAAAAGAAACTTAGGAGAACAGTGTGCTGCCTAACTGATTTATCCGCGCGGAACAGTAGTTTACATCAAAGCGGGAGCACTAAGGACTGTCTAAAAAAACAACCTGCCTTTCGTAGGAAGCCCAAAGAGGTGACGGTCGGTGCTGTTAGCAGATCATAAGAATACACAGAAGACCTCCTGAGCAGTTCGAAAAGTGCGTGTGCAGGTCGCGTCTGTCGAAAAGGACAAACGAAATCACTCGGCAGCTAACAGCCATGTAAAAATATAGGCCTGTGTCATGGCTCGTTGAATTTAACAGTTCTTCAATTCGGTCAAGGTGTATCTTTCTTACCATTATAAACAAGAACTAATATTGATGTTAAATGCCGTATCCAATTTTGTTCCCTACCGTCATTCGTTGTGTTTACTGTTCGAGGTCGTATTTATAAGAAAAACAAAAAAAAACCTTATAAAACTAGCGGCACGCTCATTTTTTTCGAAGTTGCAGAGGAGGAATACGATCCTACATGCTCACATGTCAAACAATAAAACCTATTTCTCACGTTTAACTATTGTAATTGAGTTCTAGTATTTAATATTTCAAGCACACCTCTATGTTGAACCTTGTAGGTACATCAGGTTCTTTAATACCCAACCACTATGTATGCAATGTTAATTTCGCAGATAATCCACTCCGGAAACTCACAGTTGCACATGTAGACAGACAGAGTTCTTTAAACACATTTTACATTAACGTACTTATGCGAGAAAGGTAGTATGGTGGATAGCGGTGTAGCGTGATGTAGTGAGTGAAACGCGGTTGGCTGTTACGAAGGCAGAGGAACGGCTATCAAAACCATCTACGTTTGTTTGACAGATTATTTTCTGCTCGCTTATATGCGAAACAGACCAAGTATCCCAGGTTATACCTTTACAAGCCGTCTTCAAGATGGTCATCATTACATACGACACAGACGTAATATTCATCGTCCGTCGCCTTCTTTAGCGAATCAGCCATTGCTTTGGCAAAAGCTTCAAACATTGTAAATGCTCCAGCTACAAGGATACGAAAAGTTTCATGGTGTCATACGACGTATTTGAGTTTTAAGTTGACGATCCTTGATCGCCCATAATATGCCACTATTCTCATGAAACTTTAATGACGTATTACAGTTAATACCGAAATCGTTAATATCGCAACCTAAAGGTAATCTCAGCGGAACAGCGTTTAGGTTGGATAAGCTCATAACTACCCTTGGAGAATTGTAGCTTGCGAGTAATTCGCCATGAACCTGCCAGTCGTTGCCCAGTGCCTGCGTCAGATCTGAGATTGGTCTGGGAGCTTCCTCGGGTTTAATGTGTGTAGCTTTCGGGCGCAGTGTTTGGGCTAACCCAGTATACTGTGTGTCGTTGCGAGGTGGTGCTTAGGGATAATCGACAGACTTTTTTACTGGGCATCAACTGGTGACCCGTTGCGCGGTTGACGTAGTTTTGATGTGTAGGCTTTATTAGTGCGCTAAGACTCTAAAGTTAAACTCTACACAACGTTATGCTCATTATATTATCGTGTGCAAGTACTTCGAGAACGTCTGCTTTCCATATATGGATCATACAATATTCCAGCGTATGTATTTTCATGAAATATTATTATCTTGACCAACTATCGAAGAAAAACGGACGCTGTCTTTTTGTTAGGGAATAGTAAATAAAGCCCTGCTTGATATTTGATTGCGGATGAACTATTCCATACTCTATGTAAGCTCCGATGGTAATGACCTAGTAAGAGGACTAAAAAGCTCTGATCAAAACGGGACGCTGAGGTCACCGTAGACGCAGTGTGAAATACCCGTTGGAACATTAGTTTTAGCACTGCGGTCAGGTAGTCATCGCATACCCGGCAGTACTCACTGCTCAGGTGGCCTCACTGTGTTATCGGAGAAGAACTCGGTAATGCAAGGCGTGATGCCTAAAAGCACTACGATTTGCTTCTTTGAACATTGCATACGAAAGCCAGGCAGCGGCTTCAGCACAATGACCTTATCGGTTATGGTCCTTAATCGTGCTATTATTTCGATAATGGAATTTAATCAGGTAGCCGCATTGGCTCGTGATGTAAGAGTCGTGAGGTATTCAAAATACATTGTCTTCTATCAGTGTGACTGTCTCAAAACAGCTGGATTTATTTATACGTTTTGTTGCTTATCACTGACGCCAGTGTGGGTCTGGTCGTGTACATATCTATCTTGAATGTAACGAGTGAGTAGTTCATCGTAGACGCCATGATTGCAAAAGTTTTCAAGATGACCTCGATATTTATATTCGAAGATTTTTCAATTTAGCCAAAGTTAGTTGGGGTTTCAAGTAATAAGTTACAAGCGTACTTGGCTATTTAGCTGTTGAATTGCACCAAAGTATCGCTCGGTTACGAAAAAAAGATAGTGCTTTCAATAGCTACTATCTTTTTAACGTAACGTATGTTATCGACTACGTTCTACGGACTATGCGTTCCACCCGTTGCTGCAGAAATTTAATTTTCAGAAAATGCTCTTTTTTGGAAACTCCTACAGGTCGCTCCGCTTTCTGGATTGTCTGCTGAGCAATTAGTCTACGCTCTATAGAGAGGATTATCACCCTTTTGTATCTAATTACTATTAGAATATTCACATGGTGTATTATTCAAGCACAAACGATAAACTCACTCGTCATAGTATAGCGACTCATCATTTTCGGGCCATTTGTGATTTTTTTCAGTAGCCGTAATCAATATTAGAACAGTTAAACATGTCGTGCTTCCAGGACAGCAAAGTCTCTCTCGGTATGCTGGTTTCCCATATCGACAAGCCTTGCCTTTCTTGTAATTAAATGTGTACCTTACCATAACATGAAACACAGTGTTTTGCAGCCCGCATGCTGATTCTCAAAGAAGATCGTTTTCTGCTGGAAATCGCTACCAGTATCATGGTGTACAACGTAGAGTGTGATTACTGATAGGTCCTACATCAGTGTAAATAGCCTTAAATAATTGACCTTATGACTCTTCCATTCCAGGAACCGCGTTAGTACATTAGCTAGCTGCACCGATTGTTAGATTGGTTGTTAGTCCGGGTTTTATCCGGAAGGGTCTGTGCTGGACAGCTGGAAAAATTTTCTATACCATTATCTATTTCCAAACCAAACGATGGAAAACTTCTCACTTGGCAACGTACCGTATTCTCAAGTTCGCTCCCACTATAATTTGATTCCTTTCTTAATGAATGCAAGTCACAGGCGACTTCAGCGCTGCAAGAACTGCGCAGAACCCTAACGTACTTATGTACTTCCAACTTCCTGACCCATTTTGGGCCGCCACCGTAGCACACCCTATTAAAATAGCTTAGATATGTTAAGTCTATGGCCTTATTAAAGTATCAGGAAACCTGAAGCACAATGTCACGTCAATGGGAATATTTGATATCATTTGGCAACAACATTTGTAAATAACTGTCGAGGCAAAAAACGATTTTACGTAATGTGTGGCATGATAGGGGCAAAATTTTGCGATACAATGAGATTCGGTCATTTATATGTGAACATCACTGCGCACCTGTGATACAAAAAGGCAAGACCGATGTTCCGAGGTTTATGATTAAGCTCGTTAATCCACAACAAAAAGTCCGTTCAGAGAAATCTTCAACGTTAAAATACATGCTTAACATAGCTCTTTAAAGCTCACACCTCTACAAGATTGGTTTCCAACTTTGCCGATGAAGATGAGGTGCTTTAGCTTGACCATCTCATCGATTCTTTTCGATGGCAGACCCGTCTAGGAATACATCTTCAATACCTGTTTGAAAAACAAAATGATCAAAAGTAATTGGGAGCATCTGCTCTGGGCATTTATGTACCACCATTCAAAGCATCCTATTCGGGCCCTTCATTATAACTTAATCGTAATGCCCCGTGATAATACAGTGGTGAAGTTTTTATCACCAAACTAAGGGATATGTGGCACTCTACGATTGAAACCAAGCATATACACACCTTGTTAAATGCCAGAAGCCAACCACCTAAAGTAATGCTTGGCGGGAGTGTTGGGCTTTAAACTTGAAACATTTATTTAAATAACTTCAACTACCTTGAACTACATAGACCTTACCCGCAGTTCAAAGTGATTCAAGTCGCGAGCGAAATTTAGATGGTCAGTTGTTATGAATGCTCTCAACGACTCACGACGTTGTGGACCTCGGGTATAGATCTGCCGGACGGCAGACGTTTGACACGTTGATGTTAACCGTCTTCGTGACAGCTTTCGGAGTAACGAATTTGCTTGCTGATATTAAGTATAATTGGTGGTCCAGGTTCAAGTACGCACACATTTCCTTTCGCGATAGAATTCAGCCGTCCTGGTCTTATCTTAAATTAGGAGACCCCGGTTAGAGAATTTTAAAAAAAGATTTGTCTGTAGCTCCGACTAGCATACAGCCCACGAATATCGACATAAATTGTAGCTTTTTTCTAGTGTAAATACTAACCGTACATAGAGTAGAACATAAATCTCAGAAATTTTACGTCGCACATTGCCACTGATAAAGTGGTTTTCGTGATGACAATTAACAAAACGTGCAACGTGTAACGGTGCAAAAGTTCCACTTTATAGAAAACCGAAGACTCGATTTTGACTTCACACGTTGCTTATTCATTATCATGCCTTATTATTTAACTCCACTCAAGTGAAGTCCAAGAGGGGGACACCGTAGGTTCCGCTTAGCGTTTACTTCCAGACCATTTTTGAACCCACCCAGTAATACCTTTGAACCTCGATTCACTAACGACATGTGACTAAAATTGATTATACGTTTGATCATTGTCGCTTACTTGTTATCTGTTCTAGTCAAATGTGTTATTGATGGACCGAAAACTTGTAGGAACGTGACGCGGCTTATAGCGGCCATTTAAAACCTACTAAGATACTATCCGCTCGCGGTGAATAGGATCCCAGAACAACTGGCCGAAAATGCGATTGATGCCTTAGCTTGCGGTACGAATGGCAGCACTCTATCAGCTTTCTTTAATCATGCGAATCGTGTCACGCTTCCGTGCCGTTAACGGGCCTCTCGTCTTTTTCAACCAATGGCTTAGCCGTGAAAGGGACCATATTGTGACAATATGAAGTGACGAGGCAAGCAGCAGTCGACAGCTATCTCTCTAGCGACCCCTATCTAGAGCAACAGCTCTAGTCGCTCTAGAGTCGCTGATGGCACTCACGTGCTAAATCCAGCTTACAAACTTGGCCATAAATCATCTTAGCCTCTAGTAATCTACTTGACGTTGAATTCGCAAGTATGTTTGAGAAACATCAGTAAATGGGTACTTCCAACTATTTCGAAAATCGCTGAATATTAACACATTGCTGTTGTACAGTTGTTCTGAAAATGCCGCTTCGTAAACGTCAAATGATAATAGAGCATACGTCTGACAAATGGCAGCACAATTTTACTGCAACACAAACACAAGGGATATTGATATTCTCCGAAGTTGATTTCGTTCAACACTGATCACACCTTAACCTCACGTCTGACACACTCGTTCCAGAATCGAACCGCATCTAATCAGTAGAAGTGATCATACCCATCAAACATCAACGCGGCTAGGGGCGATGAAAAAAAGGATTTCCAGGTCGAATCCTGGAAGCATCCGCTAACGAATCTCGCTCTGTGTTTTGAGGGACGTACGATCTTTGCGGAAGTGGGATCGTCATAACTCCTAGAGAATTCATACTAACCTATACATTTCGATGGATTAATCTTCCTACGTGTCTCTTTAATTCTACAACGTTGGACTTTGCAGAGGCGTCATATCCGTATGACTAGAATACACTTAAGGAATATACGAGGCAAAATTCCTGTTTCCCGTATTGTCGGCTAAGGAAGATTTCCGTGGCACACTCCGGCTGATCCCCGAAGAGTGTCCCAGAGTCTGACTACTATCTTATTCGGGTTTGCGTTTCACAATGCGCAGCTTCATAAGAAACCTATCGAAGGTACGAAACGAAGGGCAAATCTAATCAACTCAGCGCATGCCACTGGGGTGGGCCTCTCAATTATTAGCTCTAATGCCCAAAGCAAGTCCCTTAGTTCATTAGCAAAACTTTAGCTCATTCACTCATTGGCCTAACCGCTATAGACGGCAAACGCTTCAATGTAGAGCGAAACAATAGAAAGAAACTCACTAACGGCATTTCCCACAATATATTCCGCGTTAGGCGTGTTAAAATCGTACTAGTACTGCTATGAAGTAGCAGGCACCTCGCGCAAGAGCGCCGCTATTCCGGACCGTTTTACCTATTAATATACACGCGCGCGCACATTCACACACACACACACAATACCAGGTTTTTGCTTTCCAACTATTATACGTTCGAAAGTTTCACGTGTAGTTTCCAGATGCGGTTTAAAATCCATGGCAATGTCTGAAAGCATTTTTCAGAGTTCTTTTATTTCACGTTTGCGCTAGTTGCGCACGCCAATTATTAGGGAACCTAACCCATTTTTTTCGCAACCCAAATTGCCACACAACTATTGGCAGAGGAAAACCATTTTTGTTAATTCGAAACTTTTTACGCACTGCTGGGTTAAATGAAAAAAAATATATATATATTTAGAAACATATGTTACTCGCTTGAGTTGTAATTTTTTTTTATGGTAGTAGCGAGAGTATGCCTTTTACGCGACGATAATGGCAAAAATGTCGATCGAAGCTTGCACGGAACGCTAAAAGCTTCCTCTGCATTTATTCCTGTTAAGGGACGCAATTTGGATGTCTTTTTCATTTTCTTCGACTCGTAAATCATCAAGGAACTCTTAATTGTAACTAAATAGCTTAATATATGGAGACGATAGATAATTTTTCAGAATTGTGTCCTCTTCCCGTTCAATTTTGTATTATGAAGTAGTGCTGTTACGCTATTTTGATGGGGTGCCATTATGATGGTAACAGAGCTGATCGAATGAAAATTGGCGGGGGGTTTTGGCTAATTTTGCCGAATATGGAAAAATCTGGTTCTCTCCACCTCGATATGGAGCTCAGAAGCCGATATAAGCAAATACAATTCAAATCTAAACTACAATATCACCCTGCTAGTTTCCTCTACATCTCGCGTTGTCTCGATAAAATCTTGAAGCCTTTCTCGCCAGCGGGCCGCGTATTTCCTTGCCTTTGGTATAACATTGTCTTCGTTTCGTACCGTCTCGAGAAACGTCAGCAGATGCTTGAGACCCGTATCGTCGGGCTGCCCAAAATATGAGTATATTGGCACCCCATTATCGCGTTGCGCCATATAGCTAGCAGGGTGATTGTCCACAATCAGGATACGATTCAATGGCCGGCCCAGAAATTCGAGGTCTTTAACATAGAAGTCCTTAAAGATCGCACAATGCTGTCGGTACAGCCGATGCTTGATTAATTCCTTCGGATCGATTCTATCTAGAATTTTGTCTGCATACATCGGCAACGATGCCGTATATACCGCTAGCTCGAACCACTGGCTAGTGATCCTGAGAAACTCATCAAGGTAAGGCCGAATTTGTATGTAGACGTCGGCCGTCTTCTTGCTCACGGGCAGTTGCAGCTTGAAGCTGAAATCATACACAGGCGGGACAGCATATGTTCCATGAATAAGTGTTTCGTCTAAATCGAGCACGAGGAGGTTTTTTTGCGTATCCTGTGCCGGGGGTAGGAGTGGCTTTTTGCCAATGGGATTTTTTCCGCGGTACTCTTTCTTTTCAGAGGCGGTCAGGATGAACCGATGGCTTAGATGGTTCTCATCAACCTTTGTCGAAAACATCGCTAAGCACCGAATCAAAATTCAACCCCGTCAATAGCACAACGTTATCGGAAAAAACAGACATATTTCTTAATGACTTCTGTCTGAAACAGCACCGATATAATCGGTGGCCGCCAGTGTTCCGCTGAAGATGAACGAAGTTGCGATTTATTATTTTTTTAGGTGCAATTCGTGATAACAACAGCTTTTCTGCACTCCCGAAGTCGTTCGCTGTATGTAGAGTGCCGTATATAGCTTGACGAATCGGAAGCCATACTATATCATTTTCCATTTTATAAATTATTTATGATTGCTACGTGACCTATATATTGAGATCTTTAATCAGAGAGGTCACTGAGATAACATTTCATGATTTAGGCCGTGTTTCGCTCACCATAAAACAGGTATTAGAGGTTGAAAGGGTTGTGTATGGCGGGCCTAACAGCCATTAGTAATCGATGAGTCCGTCGTTCGACTGCACGATAAGCGCCTGCCGACAGTTGAATTAGAAGCGTAAAACAATATGGCAAATATCATTTATTCAAGCATACCCACTATGCGAGACCCAAACGGTGTCTACAAACTATAAACAAAATCATGTCAAAATAGGCTCCGTCAGCGTTTCGATCTTAAATCTATCTAAGTTGTTATATCTGAACATTGAACGACAGTGTCGTGAAACATAATTGAAGATACATGGTTAATCTATTTTGAGGTTTGGTATTCAGTATGAGGCGACGGGCACGCATGAATCGGGATTTAGAATACTGCGTTCAATAGCTTGGTACAATCTAGGACAGTAACGAAATCGTCGAAAAAAAAAATCTGAAGCCTTTTCGATTTTTAAGTTATGCTGCTCCTTACGGACGCGTCGTTCGGTTGGCTGGGAGACCTTCTTTCGTCGAAGCAACCTTAATGGTGAAAATATATTGATCTGCACAGATTCGACAGTGAAGATAACACAACCGTATTAATGTAGCCCATTTGATAGTCCAGTGGGCTCAATACAGGTAAGCAATCACTGAAACAGCACCTACGAGAGAAATGCTCCTTTTCAACTCTATAATGCTATATGTGCTGTGACACTGCCTCGTCTGCATGAAATATCGAATAGTCTATAATGTGGAAACAAGCAACAAGTTGGGTTCGCTCGTAGCGGGACCGTTATGATTCCGGCGTAGATCCTAGCGCTGAGGGCTAACTGTAGAACATAGACTGTGAAAAAAAAAGCCTATACTATCAATGTTGCGAATATGGCTGCTGTTGCCCCTGTTGTCATTATATGAAACGGGCATTGTGGCTACAATGATAGTTATATAGAATTTAGCCGTTGTCGAGCCAGGATCACCAAAATCATAGTAACGTGTGGTGGCTAACGAATGCTCGTACACCGGAACGCATTATGATGGCCTTTAAGCGGGGGCTAACTTATTATAAAATATAAACAATAAGCTAGCCTATGATATTGGCAAGGTCAATTCGTTACCTTCGTTAAGAGGTATTTTCTGATTAGACGTTTGTTTCACATTATATTAAATGTTTGTCGCCTAGTCTGTTTTCGACTATATTCCATGTAATAGAAAACGCTCAATGTTCTAAACGTCCGTGCTTGGATATCGGATGGGAGAGTAATAGCGGTACGCAAATCTGTCTATTCCATGCATTGTAAACACAGCTGATAAATCACACTCCAGAAACTAAGTTAAGTTGAATGTACCAGATATGTTTAACAACATCTGGAAGATTAGTTCTTGGTTAACTAGATAAACAGTGAGTTGTTCCATTACCTATCGATTTCGTTCGCAACGAAGTAGACAATCAATGACCCGCTGATTCTTCGATCTCAATCGGGCCACGGCTCGATGTCGTTTACTTTTACTTAAAAAAAAAAAAAAAAACTGTAGCCGATGGTGGCACATGATGCGATGTCATGGAATGACTAACTGGGTTACACCTTTCTCAGTCCATCCCCTCTGTTGCTAGTGGACTTTCTCTTCTCTAGCCAAATGATGACGTTAACTTTCTAACATTTTTCTGTTTGGATAAATCATTGAATTTCGGCGATTGAAGTTACTCAACAAGTGAGTTTACATTACTCGGTTTTATTACGATACAGAGAGGTCATATTTGACAGCCAGAGATGTTCAAGTGTCCTTATAGTCTTATATAATTTAATTGAGACGTAAATAGGCACAACCTATTTGACCCGACTAGGCAAGCGTTTCAGGGCACTGCTTCCAGGAACAAAGCAGTTAATCCGAGTAAACCGGATAGTAAACATCTAAAGCTGGATGCGTTATTATTGATCCATTGTATGTACAACTAGGAAACAAAGAGCCATTCTTACCAATAATAACTGAACAATGACATCATGTATACTTATATTATAAAAGCCAACTAGATAAATATGTAGGGCGGAGATGAATCGGGTCATCTTGTTTCCGCCAAAATCCTCGTTTTTTTCAATTTATTTCCACTTGGCTCTTTGGAGCCCTTTGCTTGATGTCCGGGCGTCATACTGCGCTCAGAATTGTTTCGGGCGCTTTAACTCCCTGAATTCGATTCTTCTGTATGGAATCTAGTTAAACCAGCTCTAGTCAATTACTCTTCAGTGTACCTTATCGGTCTGATGTGTTCATGTATATACAAATAACAATTTTGTACCACGCAGTGCCGTTGATCTAGGTGACCAAGGCTATTTGCTCCGTGTGTTTAGCGTATATCAGCGTAAAGTTGTCTCCCATCGTTTTACAGAGGGTGAGAGCAAGCGCGGACGCAATAAACGTGGAAGATTTAGACGGTTTCTTTTATCGTCGAGTCGTTAGAGTTTTCGTATTTTACTACCAGCTGTCGTCTAGGTTGGTGCCATTTCTTGTCGCCGTGGCCTCCTTTTCGGCGCACGCTTGGAGATACTCCCCAAGTTTTTTTCGCCACCAGACAACATATCGCTGTACACATGGGACGACGTTGTCAACACTACGGAGCAATTGCAGAAAGCTGATCAGATCCCTGAGGCCGTTATCGTCCGGCTGACCGAGATATGAGTAAATTGGTACACCATTATCAGGATGCGCCATATAACTGGCTGGATGGTTATCCACTAAAACCACCCTGGTTAGCGGTCGTCCAAGAAACTCAAGATCTTTAATATAGTGATCTCGATACACACCACAATGATGCCGGTATAGGCGGTGCTTAATCAATCGGTTCGTGTCGATCTTATCGATGATCTGATCAGCATAGATCGGCAATGATGCCGTATAGACTGCCAATTCGAACCATTGACTCGTAATTGAAAGAAATTCGTAGGCGTATGGTCTTGTCTGCACAAAGACATCCTTAACTTTTTTAACGCCGCCGGCCAGATTAAGTTTAAAAGAGAAATCATAATGATTAGGCATTATATAGTGGCTGTTCATGAGCGTTTGATCTAAATCGAGCACGAGCAGGATTTTGTTAGCATCTTGTAGCGACGGAGGGGGGATTAACGGGCGTTTCGGTATCGGGTTCAGGTCACGGTACTCGCGCCGTTCCGCCGCTGTTAGCAGATATTTATAGCTCAGATGATTTTCGTCAATTTTCATTGTCCACATCACAAGTACCCTGAGGCCTAGCTTCGGCCGACGGCACTACGTCGTTCAAAAACAACAACAAAACAACACGCCCATATTCGTATTTAGGAAAAATGCAAAACAGCAGTTCTAAATAGGTATTGAACAATCCGTTCGCGAGGAGACACCGTTCGATTACGTGAGACAACCATTTGAACAGTGACCATGGATGAACGAATCAATCGCTTGATCAGCGTTTTAGCTCGGGCATCGGCGGAGAAATCTATGATCTACCGATGAGCACTGAATAGCGTCGAAAAGGTGTCAAAAGAAATTGCTGGATCTATAAGCAGCTACGCTTAGTAGGTCGACAAGTTCTAATGATGGCCAATGCCCGTCTATCGCAACCAAGTTAACGCAGTCGCTCAGAAGTAAGTTGCGGGGTGGATTTGAGCTCGTTACGGGATAAATGTGTGTGGTCCACGGTACGCGATCAATCGACTATCACTACGTTAAGAATTACGTCTCTTTTTGTAAGCCTGCACCTTCTGCAAAGCTCAACGCGTTCATCAGTGCGATGTCGAGTTTATTCCTGGCTGCATTTGGGGGTGTAAAGCATCGTTCTATCCCAGTTCTAAATACGATCAGAGGGACCAAAATTTAAACATTATAATCGACGTCCCAAAGAACTGACGAAATGTTTCCTCTAAGCATTAATAGTTGTAGACATTAACAAGTCATCTTGATAGCCCAAATCATTTTTGCTTCAAGAGCGATATGGTAAAAGGTATGTTTTTACCTTTTCAAGATGGCGCAGCACTAAGTTGATAACTTCCCGCTGTAACGGACCGGCATCTAACGTATATATTTGTATTAAAACTTAAGTATCGTGTAAGGTAGATTACTAACACCCAGATAACTAAATTCTGACACTTAAAATGAGCTGACTAAGCTACAAAGGATCCATTTTAAATATACCATCGGCCGTACAATATATACTTAGGGCGTATTAGGTGTTTAGCTATATAATATGAATCGAATTTTCAGAATTTGAGCAAATTATTACGCTATGTCATAGATTCATATCTAAAGAACAGTGACTGACCGATTAATGCGACTCAGGCGAAATAAGTAGGGTTAGAAAGAAAATATCATATCCTCACCATTTTAGGTACGCCGCAATTTATCGACAGGTTATTATATAATAAATCAACGATTATTGTGCTCGACGCCCAAGTCTGTCGTTATAAAGTAGCATCATCGAAAAATTCATTCGTATAATTTAAGGCCTATAACGGTGGGATTTCATGGTCGTCAACAGATCGAAGGCGGCCTGGAAACTATAGGCTCTCATCGAGACAAATACCTGATGGTTTTACGAAAAATCAATGTTGTTTGAAAAGGCAAATTTGAGAAATTCAGCTTCAAAGAGCTGTGGTGATTACCTGATCATAGGTAGTTCGGACAGAAGACAAAAATTCTACCATTTACTAACGGGATACTGATTAAAAATGACTACAAACGTCCATAAGTTGTAAGCGTAAGAGGACTCCGATTGACTATAACTGCATAGTAAATTTTTCTGCGTGGGGTTAATTGGGAATAGCATGCCCAAACGCCGATTACGGCGGCTCTGCGTTGGACGCAATCGCCGAAGAATTAGATGACACACATACTCTTTTTCCAGCAATTAACTTATCTATTTTTAGGCACGCCAAATTGTATTCTGAATGAAATGAAACCGATACAGATCCGCAGTGAAGCTTCTGATGTCTCCAAATATGATCCCTTCATAGAAAAAGGCTAGTAAAACAATCATTCCTAGTCCGTATAAGTTTGCCATCGAATTTTTGAGCTGAACTTGTACTAAGAAGTTACAACCTTCAAGGTAAAATAGCTTATTTCTTAGTGCAATGTGAATCTTAAAGCGGAATCGCTAAATTCGAGGCCAGCGCTCTAGATTACTGAAGTGCGTATGCTATACGCAGCGAAATACGTACTCGCGCAAAAGGACCGAACACAGCCATGTCTAGTCCTTAGGACCCGTAGTCCCTAGGACCACGAAAGAACAGTACTGTATTTCTTTTAATTGTAAAATTTTCGGTAAGCTTGAATAATAGATCTTTTTGAGCGAAGTTTACAAATTATTTCTTATTTTCTTAATGACGTTTCTTACCATATTTCTTCAAAGGTAAGTTTGTATTTGGTTTTTATACTTTTAATAATTAAAGAACCAGCTGATTCGATTTTCGTCTGTTTTTATCTAGCCAGATCTATCCCAATGGTAGAAGAAACAAACAATACATTACGTATGAATTTGTTGAATTGAAATAAAATTGATTAGAAGACTTTTTTTTTTTGATGCAACAAAATTTAGCTGTCTTATATTGACTATTTTATTCGATAGAACACAAGATACGACACATGAAATGACCGCGTACAAACGTATACGACGCTTTCAATTTACCTGCATAAAGCCTCACTGATACCAGTGTTGTAGTAGATGAAATATCGTGAAACGTTCAGAATTTGTTATTTTCAGAAATTTAGGTGAGCTTTTGGAAAAATCCACTTTGTTGTTCTATCGGAAAAATCTGACTTAGTCATTTATTAGATCAGGGCTCATATGTGTGGCGCTGCGCTTCATGTAATTCACTCGCCCATTCGGTCCAAACAACCTCAGCTAAACTGGGTTTCTACAAAGCCAGTCCAGTTTCGGGGGATACGAAACTTTAGTCCATTTAGCGTTATGCTATTTCATTTCAAGAAACAAAACGTACATTTAACAGTTTATGCGCTCTAATTGACAAAATTGGCTTTAGAATATTATTGAAAAATGTGTTTTGTTGTAAGAAATGATAATTTCGAAAGGCCTGATATGCCTTGGGAAGCGCTGTATAAACAATAGATGCACATATGAACACAACAAAGTATTCATAAACACAGAGGCAGCTGGGTCTGACCTGTGTTCCCCCGATGACAACTATCGTACTATTAGTATACGGTTAATATATGAACCACGTGGGTGGATCCGTGGTCGGCTTGCAGCTTGGGCCCCATCTCCTAGCGTATGAGAAGCATATCGAATTCCCATTAGATAGGCGTACTATTAATGGACATGTTCTTTTCGTATATGCACACTCAAACCAAGCTACGCCGGCACCATAATAAGTAACCCGTTGACACTCTTGATCCGCCCATCGATCGTGCTCCAATGCTAGTAAGTACCAAAACGTGCCTCATTATCGCCTTTCCTAAATGTAGGAAGTATCCCAAAAACGTATGTGTGTGCATGATCAGAAGCTGTAATTAATTAATATAAAGATACTATTGCATGTACACGGTCGGTATTCAGTCACTTTCGAATGGCAGCAGGGGGTTGTCGTATCTGCGTCCATATAGTGCACACGTTTATGCGCTGTCTGTCGATAACATACGAACGTAAACTGAAGATAATCGTACAAATGACGGTACCTTCTGTGGAAGGCCCTTTTATCTAGTCTGGTAGGGGACGGTGCATATAGATTTCCCGACGACCCCTGTCTGCTTATATTCCATTGTAGATGGTTTAATAGGGATATCATGGAAATGAAAATATTAATATCAACAGATTGTCGTACTGGCTTTAGAGACTTTTCGAATGATCGAAAGGTTTGACCCTGCAATCTTGATAGATAGATAGATACGAAAAAACTTACATCCAGAGTAAATTATTGGACTTTATGCTGATTGTTATACGGATCATATCTAGTAACCAATATTGGAAGCAAATGAGCCAGCTCCGAAATTTAATTTTCCACTTCAACTAATATTAATTGAAACATTTTAATAAGCTTTTTTTTTTTATTAATCAATTTGATTTATGCAGCTTCAGCTATTAACGGATGAGAGGCTTTCAGAGTAGGAGAACGGCTACAATAATGGCGGCTAATAAAGCCGCTATACTTACCCTTGCGTATATTTGCCAATGATTCAAGTACGTAACTACGGCGCACTGTGTACGAGATTGAAAGTGTTTCCCTAATCTCTTGCTCGGGCTTTTAGGAAAAAGGGCTTCTCCCATCTGTGAAATAGTCGCCAATATCTGTATCTCGTACTCAATTACTATTCCAAATGGAACGAGATTCATCTGGCAACGGGCTGTCTCTTTAAAGCTTTTCTCTCTATTGTTTAATATATGTATTATTCACGACTTGAAATCACACGCGATTTAAGTGCTATTTTAACCTGCCAGCATCTTGATATCATTTCGAATTCCTGATCTTCTCTGAATCTTTCGCGTACGCAGAGTGAGCACAGTCTAAAAGACTGGATTTATAACTGAGCACTTTTAGGGCATTTCCAGACGTCATTGCAAGGAGCAGTCTCTCCTTGAATCATGGATAGCTTGAACGATCCCGAGTACCGGTCAACACCATAAGCAGACGTTGATAAACTAATGCTGTTCGTCGCTCTCTCAAGGGCGTCGATCGCTTCCTTAAAGAGCCGACTTCGATATTCCGAAATGGATTGTGTAGATAGCTGGGTGCCATGTACACGTTGTGGCTAGATTCCTTCTGTGAGCCGTGATCTGGCCAGACTTGTCAACCGTGACGCCGGGACGGAATTCTATAGTAGAGACTATATTGGGGAATACTGCTAAGCGTACATTTACGAGAGTGTGGCTGAAGCTGAGCTACGTTTCTTCAGAGTTTGCCACGATTTTACGCTCCTAGCCCATCGAATGCGGGCCCGTACAACCCTAGTTCTCTTAATTAATTAACATTTTTACGTTGGCTAGTAATGCACCTTAATTTTTTCGCCCGCCCTTAGAGTGCCCTCACTCACTTCTTCGGCTGACTAGATATCTTGTTATCCTTTCTAAGTAAAAACTCTGGTAGACAATGTCCGCCCTTCGGCAACGTATCTCGATGAAAGTAACGTACTTTTTTATGCCTTTATTTATTAATGACCTTACTTAGTCACCTATTAGATCAGGGCTCATATGCATGGCACTAGTTTTGCTTGGCGCTGCGCTTTATGTTTGCAAGAAATCCAAACCGTAGTCTTTGCCTGCTTGCAAAAGCAATATATGAATAGTATGTACTATATTATATTACGTTTACTTCATTTAGAAATCGCTGGATAATGTTAAATACATTGTGCGGATATGAAGGCTTTGGGCGAGAGCTCAAAAGTGCAACTTATTAGCGGAATTTAATTTACGTTATAAGCGTTCTTTTGCGTCTGTAATTACCCACCGTTGTTGTAACTTCATTTCCGCCTTTATACGACTCGTTTTGTACACGGGTCTATTAAGTACTCTTATCTTCCGCTCCTTTCCACCATTATCTCAGCCTTGTTATCGTATATTCTATAGTTTCATATTCCAACAATAATAGCCATCCTAGAGATTACTGATTGAACCGAATTTTTCTACAATTAGTATTTCCTACAATTCCCACGTTTATGTGAGCGTTTGCATCTTTCGAGAAATTTATTTTTTAATTTGAGACCAGTTTGGTCTTCAATGGGTGTCTGCCTTGTTGCGTTTCGATCGTCCCATTTTTTATCGGTAATTAATTCTGTTCGTCTATTGTAGTAGTCCAGGTACATTTTTTAAGCCGATATTAAATCAAGAGACATCTTTCTCAGCATCTTACATATGAGCGATCTATTATTGTATCAATGCCCTGCTGTCCATCTGATTTTGCGGGCTCTCTGTGGCAGGCAGAGGGTCGTGCACTGATTTCAATGTACGAGATACCTCTGATAATGTCAAACGGCATGCTTATATAGACCCGGATTTCTTCCGCGGCATATAAAAAGGCTTAGGTCCGAAACGGGGCGTAGGCCCACTTAATTTCATGTTGGGAAGTCGTCGGAAGCGATGTTTAACGTCAGTACGAAACGTAAACTTCGGAATATTTAGACATAACAGTTCGTTAGTCTTTTAGTTAAATATTCATTTATAGGTCTAATGGAGAAAACCTAGGGAAATCCAGGAAGACCAATTCCGGCTACGATTTTCAGTGGGGGCGTGTTCTTAATGCTGTGTCCAAGATGTGTTTCCTAGGTCTTGTTTATTCAAAGAGGGTTGTTGGCGGTTGCATAAAAGTGCCACTGTGAGTTCGAGAAAACCCCATTTTGCCGAAAGCCAAAGCCGTAATTGTAAAATGACGATTCTATGCGACTTGCTACCTTGGACCGCCTCGCTGAGTATGTCTTACCGCGACCCTAAGCGACGCCTGTTATTGAATACTGCCTCATGAGCATTTCTAGTTATCAAAAGATCAAAACTTAGGTAACCGGTAACTTTGTGATTATAACGACGCCATCATTATCCTGACCTTATCCCTGCAATAACTGACGAAAGGTCTGTTACCTGTCTGCAGTATGTGACAGCACGCCTATGGCACGTCATTTCCAGGCAGACGATATGATGTGCTAAGCTCGAACCTGTGTGAGTTGTATTTAAACTCATCGGATTTAGTAGTGTTAGTTACTAAACCTTTGGCGTTGTTAATACTGCCAAATTATTGAAGCACGTTTTTAGCGTGCTCAAATCAAACGTTTCAGACCACCACAAAGGATTTGCCACTTTGAGACGACAGGAAGGAACGGGACTATTAGGAGTAACGCTGAGATTACCTATGACCCACTGGTTTTTATTTTCGTATGTGCAGACTTTTAGATCTACTATACATTCATCGATATTATAGGGCTTTCAACTTTAGTACCGATTTCCTCGTCTATATTCAACTCGAAGATACTTGTTGCAAACTCCTGGACTAACTTCACGTTGAAAAATCGATCCATCATGGCCATAATCGTTTTGTCAGCATATTTATCTAAATCAACGAGGGCAAATATATACATTGTTAGAACAACCAGGCTTCGATTGCGCTTGACTCTTTAGGGAAATATTTAGCAGCAAAAAAAGGTTACCCCCAAAGATACTACGGTTTCCTTTATCGGACGCGGCGTCTCTGGGCAGATGCATTTCAGGTGTGTCAAGTCATCTGCGATGTGGCAAACTTATGCCAATCGTCTCAATATAGTCTCAAAGTTAATGAGATCTGTTGTGGTCATCGCCATTCCAGGACATGTTTCTTTTATTTAAACCGTACATTTTGTTTGCTGTTATAAAAGTACCATGGTGCTGGAAAAAAACAAACGCATTTTTATAGTTAATGGGTCCAAATCAGGTGTAACCTCAGTTTGAGCCTGGCAAGGCTAGGCCGTCTCGAATGCCCGATCTCGTAGCTTGGCGTGGCTAAGGAACGAAGCATGTGGCAATTTAAACAACTAGCGAACGTGGAATTATTGAAGGAACGTCTATAACTCTCACTAGAAACATTAACATAAAGGCAAGCTTAAATACAACGAAAATATCTTAATTCATCAATAGAAAAATTCACTATCATGCTCGTGCTGATAGAATGCGACTCTTTTAAAGCTATTCTAATATCCTCAAGCTCCTCGGGAGCTTTCTCAACGATCTATTGCCTCGGCAAAAAAAAAGCTCAACCAACCTCGTTCTGGCAGCCCGCATGTACCACTTTAGCCATATAAATAGATCCTACACGCGCAGTCTAACATTCTATCGTCAGAATATACGTGAGGCCAAAAAGTTTGCAAATGACTATCGCGGATTAACCGTAAATAATAAGGCTTAAGTTACTACTTCGTTTTGGTAGAAAATGGTACTAAAACAATTTTCGTGTACCTTCGTCTGGGCCACATAATCGCGCTTCGTAACACTCGTACCTCAGCTGTTTTTTTTTTTTCTACTCTTGGGTTGATTCAGATTTTATGAAAACAGACATCATCCTCCTGCTCTTACTCGTTCTGCCCATCTAATCAACTATACTAACAACAGCAGAGATTGTCCATTCACGTAACGCATACATCAGCCCGTTACCGAGATGATCATCGCTACTATTGCATCATAAGCTTCATCATCAACGGGCTTGAAAATATACATCCTAGATTTACATTGTGCCTAGTCTAAGACGAGATCAGTGAATAGTTTTAGGTATAGTCAAATCGGATACAACTATTCAAAATAAGTAAAGTAAGTTGAACTATCTGTTATTTTGGCTAAAGTGGCTAATTAGCGTTTCCTCAAGAATAGGTAATAAGTATAAGAAACAAGAAGGTTCGTCCTTATTGGTTTGGGAAGCTGAATTATCGTTTCGAGCTCTACGATTAAGTCTTTTCCCATTGTTTAACATTGCTTCCGATGGCTGTGCCTTTTCTAGCGGGAAACGAAACATTTATACGTGCGATTATAAACCTAGAGAAGTCCAGGTGTCCTTAATTTTAAACGGGTAAGCACATGACCTCTAAGCCCTCGAAGCGATCTTAGCTTTCATTATTTTCAGCATGAAAAAAAGATGACTGATACATTGATGGGTGTAAAAGCCGAAAAAATAATATCGTAGAATCTATATTACGAAAAAAAAATCCAAAAAAAAACACATTTATTATGCCTTGATTGTGCGTTCGTTTTAGTACACTTAGGGGCAGTATGTTGAGTCCATTAAATCGGATCACTTCAGATCTGTCACGGACATACAGCGTTGAAATTATCGGTAGTAATCAAATGCTGCATATACAACAGTGATAAACACGTGAACGAGGGGTTTGCCGTTGATGAAAGGAACCAAAGAGCTGATGAAAAGTTCGCGCATTTGTGCATAAAACTTAGAATCGAATAGCGACCAAAACAACCGAGAGAATTGACGCAGCGAAGCTGCTTAGTTCGGACTGACCTGAGTGTAGAAGCAAAAGTCTTCGTAGGGTTACCAATAGCACTTCTTTAATTTTCATGACCGTACTTTCGACCTATAACAAACCTGCCTCTGACCACTAGTCAACAAACGGATTTCGAAACCTTTTCGTTTCCGGAGAAGACATCGTTATTCTTTTGGCGCCTTGCTATCGCTATCGTCATTATTGCTTTTTTGTACAGGTTACGGTCTCGTTTATCTGCGAGACAAGTGCTAGTTTACTGGTGATCGACAAACGAGGTAGCAGCTAAATAAAAGTTCAATTAAGATCCAATGAGCTGGCGAGCATCGAAAGACAGGGAAGACAAGATTCTTCACTTTTGTTGTACCATCGTCACGGCTTCGTTTGATGGCTAGCTGGTTACCTCTTTACTTTATAAAACGCTATGTGCTGTGAATCGCAAGAACCCCACATTATGCGAATGAATGTCTGATTAATCTAATTCAAGCCCAGTAACCTGAGTTATATTTAAACAAAGTTTTTTTTGTTTTTGTTTTTATTCAAAGCAAATGTGTATCGCAGTGTGTACCGGTTATCGAAGCGTTTGAACCAAACGGAAATAATGGGCGATTTAGAAGCTTGTCCACGTTAAGTTATAGCGGTAGACGACAGTTAGTTGACCTCTATAGATCTAATACTATTGAGACGTTGGTACAACAAGAGGCACACTTTTCTATGGAAATAATAATGATTCCGTCTAGAAAATTTACAGAAGAATTAAACTATTAAAATTTGATTAATCTTGTTTGCTTTGTCCAGATGATGAACCCCCTGTAAATAATGCCATCTCTAGCTTACGCAATCGTCGTTCTATTATGCAAGCAATGATAGCTATTGACGAAATGAGCTTGTAATTGCTCCAACAGCACCGAATAGAAGCCATTAGTTGAAACAAATTAAGAGAGCAGTTAGGGTCGCTAACTTTCTGACCCATCAAACGGTGGCTCCACTTGGTCAACAGCGAATCAACTACTTTGGACGACTACAACTTTGCCTGGGGATTTTCGAAATTTTGTAACATCCTATAGCTTTCTCATAACACCTATAGGAACAGGTTGAAAGGGCAAAGCTGGAGGGGCCATCTAGTGCGTAGGTTGCAAATCAGGATGACTTGGAATCAACTGGCCGAATCCCTCTATCAAAGGTCACTGGTAATGTCCCGAATGTCTATCTATGCGTATAATCAAATAGACAAAAAGACTGTTCGATTAAATATCGACTGGATAAATAAATATTTCAGGTAGATATATAAAAACTTTTTATAGAGTTCTGCAAGTATCTAGATTTACCAACATTTTAGATAAATTCGCCTGTCAAACATAGCAACTCTCGTTCCCGGTATATGTGGGTCTACTGATTAGCAATAAAGAAACCGTTGATGATAAGACGAAAGCTGAGCATATTGAAACCCAAATGGAGACCGATTGGACGACAATTTCATTGAATAGAATGTCATGAGGTTTTGTTAGAAAAGTATAAAAAAAATGCATGCCATTTTCTGTGGAGGAGGAAAGAGCTTTTTTTTTTTTTAACCTGCTGGCAACGTATTTTTATTACTGTATATAATATAACAAAATAAGCAAAATACTAATCTAGCTTGTGGTAACTAGTTTATAAATGGCCTATAAGTATACAATATCTATTGCGTAGTTCGCTAAACCCTGTCCAATTTGACTACTACCGTGACTCGGACACGAAGCTCTAAATGCATTGCTTGGTTTCGTTACATGACAATGCTTTCCTTCTAGCCTATGGAAAGCATAAGAATTGCTACTGCCATAGCTGCCAGTATATAGTAATAACATCAATCATACCAGTGGTTTACGCTTTTCCGGTAACAATGTGCATGACATGCTGAGGCCTGTCAAGAGTTGAGTTCTTCATAGAGGGCTTCGAGTGTTTTTCCTCCATGCGTAATGAACTTCATTAGACGATTCAAGTCTGTGTGTTTACCTTCTGTCATTTTTTGGCGATATATGATGATAATAATAACAGTAGTAATAAAACGTCGTAGCTATGTTCGGATCCTCCCTAGCAAGACATACACAAACGAATGCTGAATAAAATTGTGTCATATATGAAAAAACACTTTTACAATGAAGACTAACAAAAGCGACAAGTTTTTACCTAGATGTACATGTAGGACGCTTTTTAAATCACCACAACTTTGAGCTCTTATTCGTTCCGATGACGGAAATCCGCGTGTGTCTTTGAGGCGTATTGTTACTGTGCTATAGATCGAAGCACATAAAACTCTAGCTATAAATAAATATGTTCTGCATATCAATTCGTGGAAGGGGACCACTCTTTGCCCTAATGCTGGGCTCCGAAAAATCGATGTTTGACCTTCGTTCGTTCTAAAGGACGGCTTCTTTGTCCAGCTAAAGTAAGGGCTATTACTAGCATTTAGTTAAAACGTACATAGAATGTAGGGACAAAACCAATGTATTTGTTTGCTAAGAAACAATCGAGCGTTAAGACAAATTAGAAATTACGCATCCACAAAGCTGAATGCGTGCGCACATAATGAACTCTATTTAGCAGAAACTGAACATATAATAAAGTGAAACGACGTAATATCCGAATATCCTTAAGGATAATTTGCGCAGCTAGTCTGTTTTAGGATAGCGTCTAGGTCGACTCAGGTCTAAGGACTTTACTTTGATCTAATAGCTAATAAGCAGAGTACCTTACGGCATGTTTAACATACTAGGAAGTGGTCTGTCAATTGCGCTTTCGTCTTCTCATCGATATGTCACGAACTTTGCTGTTTCAATAGACGGATGGATGGATGGATGGATGGATGGAGCTCCCTTACGCAGCTAGAGTCTCTAAGCCATAGAAGTATGAGCTTCGACCTGCACGGTGCAGTAAACTTTAGGTAGCAGCGAAGAATATTATACGTGATAAAATTTCCAATTAAATGCATGCGGGAATTGGTTGGGTTTTATGCCTAACTGAGGCAAATCGAGCTATTCTTTGAGTAGAAATATATGCTAGATATTCTAATTAAGGAATATGTTTCTAGCCCGTGCTCGAGCCAAACTTCTATGCTGCACTCCTAACTAACGATAGCTCGAATCAGGTGTCACAATGGTTTTTTCAATGTTTATAGGTCGTGTTAAACGGTACAACATTCGGTAATGTTAAATTCGCACATAGTCAGACAGTATGTGAGACTATTGCGGAAAAGAAGTTGTGGGCCCCTTTCTGTTTATAGGAATAGACACAAATGATCATATAAGGAACTAGTCAGAATTGTGACTGCGGCCAAAATCGTCCAAACATTGTCTCTTGGTAACAGCTCACTGCATGTAAAACAACGAGCCTACAAGGACAGCTATTCAATCTAATGTCCAGTTGTCAAATAATAGCGGAAAAGTCCGCCTTTTTCTCTAAGCTTATAATAAACGCTATTCGTTGATAGTATAAGCTAGCGGAGAGCATGCTGGGTCAAGACAGCACGCAAGCCAATTCACTGATACAAGGATTACGAAAGTCTAACAAACCTGCAGTACTTGTTCATGCTAGGCTTCTCAAGATGGAAACCCTTTTAGGGCCAATATTTCTAATTGTATTTTATTTTACTATCATTTCAAATTTATAAGCTTGATAAGAATTTAGAAAATTGAAAAAAAGAATAGGCAAGATGATAGCCGATGTCAAGCTGCCTATAGAAGAAATAGCCTCCTAAATAAATCTTTCGTCAGGAAGGGAAGAATTGGCTATTACAGATTTACTGTGTAGCCAAGCATAATTGAAAGTTTAAAACTAAATACAGCAGCGGAATGCTTAAAGCACAAAAGATCCTCCAGTGCCCTGTGTTTGCCCACCTCTAAGTAACGTAAACGATGAATATTTACAAGTACATACATCTACGCGCAGAATTCAAACTGCCAATAGCTCATAAAATATTTTTGGCAGCCTCGAGATATAACTTTATTTACGAAGTGGTTAGACAGTGTACGGCCGACGTGTGTGTGTATCTACTTTTCAATTATTCCGTCGTAATTGTGTGTTAGCTTGTAAAGACACGCCCAAAAAGTCTGTTCGGGGCGTTAGGCAGCGACCGGTAGCATTAGGACACTGTATTTAAAATTGTGCCGTTGCTTTAGTTGTTTTTATCGCTTTACCTTTTCGTTACATACCCTTTGAGTTTCTTCGTTTGAACTCATTGGCGACGCGTCAAATCAATGGAGCAAACGCACGCTTCCTATTTTCTTTGATCGGCTAAGAAAAAGACACACGGACATTAACGCCGGGCCCATCGGGCTCGATAATTTCTAGGGAAGTGAACGCCAATAACACGACAAATGCTTCTTGCGTAACAACGTTATTCAGTTTCAGCTAAGAAAACTGTATTTAACGACCTAATAGGTATTTAGCACCTGCAACAGACGCTAACTCAGAAAACTCACCGTGAACAACGGTCGACCTACTGATACGGTTGATTTATGGAATGCTCTCCTAGAAAATAGGCGACTCTTTAGGACGTTTATACATATATATATATATATATATATATATATATATATATAGAAGATAGATATTTGTTATATAGAGTTTATTTATATAGAGAAACTTATTTATTTTGCTTTTTTCTCTTTTAATTGAAAGTTGGAAAATATCATCTTAAACTTACTGGAAAAGGAGGTGTTGATCCTAAATATATAATGAAAATAGAATTTCTTTATTATAAGTGACAACACTCCAAGTAGTTTAAAAGTAGAGTCAAGTTAGACCTCTGACTACTTCTTCTTCAAAATATTGCCGTATCGCTGAACATAGTCGCGAGCCGTGTCAAACTTCCCAAATTTCTCTTTGAACTTTTTTTGCACATTCAGCTGGAAACGGGTTCAAATAATCAAATTTAACACCTCTCTCAAAGTGTGCTTGTCTTCCTCGGCCATGCTATCCATCAATGATGCCAAGTGTATTTTCTCTATGCCAAAATTTGCGGTATAATGGATTAGGTCACTCTTTTCAAGCGTGCCTAATTAGCTCGCTTATTAGAGGTCCGTCTTTCGACGTCTCCGACGACAACAGCAGCAGCC